TTGTGCGCCCAAACCGGCACTCAGAGGTAGAGACCGACTCTCTGTGAATGCCGTTTATGGCCTGTCGGTATGCAGTCCGGTCCAGAGGTTGCTTTATGAACTTCTGGACTTCGTCCGTCAGTTCCTATAGGTAGCTCCTGAGAGCCCTTCTGCAAGCAGGTGTTTATTCCAGTGCCCACGTCTGTGGCACCCTACTAGGAACTGCTTACAGAGCATTGTATTATGATCATTGATGAGAAGCATCTGGGCCTCATCGTGTAGGTGGTGTTGAGGTGACATCAGAAGGCATTCAGTCGCGGTCCGGAGCGCCGTGTTTTGGCATGTCTGTAGCTTTGTCCACTGCGACTCCTGCTGGTCCTCGGCGACCACATGGGCGCTGCATAGTTTAGAACCGGTCGGGCATTTGCCTTGTATGTTGGCAACAACGTTTATTTGTCTTTACCCCGGGTGCTGCCGGCTAGCGACTTGCGTAAATTGTTGTTATGGCAAGCCCCACCTTCGCTGTTTTATACTTTCTGAGTTTGAGCAGTTGAGCCGTACGACATGACCCAAGCCTTGTGTTTGTCGAGGTATAGCTTATATAGCTCATCGTTCCATAGTCTGGAATGCTCACTTTCGTCAACGCGCAAAGGGCAGTAAATCTTCCGTGCAATGTGTCTCTGGAATAGTCCAAGGGATGCTGTCCGTGCATAATGAGTGAATTATAGAATGTAATTTTGTACGTTGAGAGATCACTTTACTTGTAAATTGCTTTCTTCTTCCTTCCGCTTGGGCTCATTCAACTTATCGAACATCAGATTAAAGAAATCACACGACAGAGAGTCGCTCAAGATTTGGCGTTTGGTGAATATCTAGTCTATGGTGGACTTGATGATTTCAAAGCATTTTACGTATTTGTTTTATTTTTATTTTTGAAAGTACACTTAGGCAACGAATTGGGGAACCGTTATGATATCACAACTTAAAGTTGGGTCCCTCCTCTTTGCCGAAGCATTTTGTAACCTTGTTGGTAATACCTAGAAATGCTTACAAATACATACTGTAAATTAAAGGTTTCAGAAAACATTTTACTTTCCGCTATCTTGGAATGCAAAACAAACAAAAAAATAAATAAATTAAATCTGCACAATTTTTTTTCGTTGTTTAACTTGAAAATCGATTTAAAGTCATTACAAATGCACAAATACTTAAACTGGGTAGAGTGACTTCTGTAAAAATATCAGATTGCCAATGCATTAACGATCCACGGAACGTATGCATGTACATTAGGGTGTATCACTCCCCATACAATTAACAAAAGGTACTGTTTTCCACCGGAATAATTAAATTCGATAGTATTTTAAGACTTTCGGCAAAATATTTCAGGAAAATATTAAGATGTACGTGAGCTAAAGCGATTTGAAAACACCACCAAATATCGGGTTTTTCATAAATTATTTTTTAAAGATATTTATTTTTTTTATCGCCTAATATGACAGGCCGATAGCCTTTGTTGTTAGTGCCTCTGCATTATAATATAATTATTTATAATTATATTTCTTTTAAAAATAAATAAATGAGAGATATTGGAGATATTCTCAAATGAGTCGAGCGCATGCAAATCTTAATATTTTAGTCTTACAGTATACGTTTTTTAATTCCAGTAGAACCCTAACATGCATACATACATACATATGTACATTTGTATTTATAATTAAATAGAAATAAAAGGTACATACATATATATATATCTGAAAGGCGAAAGTGTTGTTTAAAAAATGAGCTACAAAATATATCTGTAAATTTATAAGCATAGATAGTAAAATAACTTACACCTTCTCGTCTGAGCAATAAATGTAAACATGGAACGACACTGCGTTGTTGCATTCGAAATTAATTGCAATTGCCACATTTATATGTACATACATATGTATGTACATTAGACTGCATCACCAAAAAAAGTTGCGGTTTTTCCGCCCTGATTACAAAATTTATTATATTTGAAGATGTCCACCAAAATATTTCGGAAAAATATTAAGTTTTACGTGAGCTATTTTGATTCATAAAAAACTCCATTTTGGAGATATTTTCAAATCGGTCCAGCTCACGTAAACCTTAATATTTTTTCGAAATATTTTGGTGGATGTCTTAAATTATAATAGATTTTATAATTCCAATGAGAAACCAGTACCGATTTTTTTTTTTTTTTGTATGGGGTGGTGATGCAGTCTAATGTAGTACATACATGGATGAGCATAGACACAGGCGAGTTTAAAGTTTAAAAATAAAATATGAGTACGAAAATGCAAGCAAAAAATAATGAAAATGCAAATGGAAATAAATGCCTTGACTGGCAGCAAGTCAAGTGAATGGATTCAACGGCAGTCATCGAATGCATTTCATGGTTTAAACAAAACTTCGAAAAAAAAAACTTGGAAAATACGCAATTCAGTATAAACAATATGTATGCGCGTATGCACAAAAATAATGCCAGATAACCTATGGATTCCTAGTAGAAAAAGCTAAAAGAAAAAACAGTAAAAGCGCTGCTCAATTGACCACGCATAAGTGAAGACTTCGTCGGCATTCGATTTGCTTGTCAGGGAAATGTCAGAAACGTTGAGTTCATGATCTTATTTAACCTTGTAAATTGTTTTGGTCTTATTATTGCCAACGGCAGTGGAATGTCAACAGAAACAATAAATAATAAAATGACTTATGTACTTTGTATGTAGATTTACAAAAAAAAAAAACAGCTTAATGCCTTCACCGCCGCAGTCACAGAAATCATTGTCTTGCACGCACTTTTGGAGCATGACCGGTTTGGCTAGATAAAGATGTTTTCATTGCATAAAGGAGCAGTTCATTTTTCTTTTGTTATTGCCTTTATATTCGGACCGTTTTCTCAGATAAATGTACATATGTACATATATATTTATATGTAACAATTTTGTACCTGAGAAAAGAAAGAACGACTTTAATGCGCGAGCCATTGTCCTTTGTTTTTATATGCGGAATTCTTTTGTTATTGCTGTAAATTGTTTCGCTTAATTTTTTGTAATAGTAATTGAAATGTAGCCAAAGCCCAAATTGTCAAATTTGTTTCGGAGACAACCCAGTTTCGGTTTTGTGCCATCTTTAAAGCCATGTCGAAATTTCGAATTCTGTGATTGTTTTGCTTGAAATTCAGTATGTGGGTAGCTTTTTGCCTAGATCATGAAGTCTTGTACACTGGTGCCATTTAGCCCAACTTAAAATATAGGATAGATTAAATCTCGATTAGACGAGGGGGCGTGGCACCTTCCATAAAAACGGAATTTTTCATACTGCATATCTCAGAAAATGTGTGTGATTGAGTACTGGAACTTAGTATAGATATAGTATATAAAATAAATTCCATACTCATGGAGGAGGGCTGCCACCTGTTTAAAAAAATCAAAATCAACTTGAATTAAGGGAATTATTTATTTGAAAATTATATTAAAAAATGAATGACAAGGGGCTTAAAAAAGTTGTAGTTTAAAAATATTTTGGAAAGGGTTGCCACCCAATTTGAAAAGCCAAATTTAAGTTAATTATTTGCAAGCTATCTGAAAAAATTATATATGGCTGTCAAATGAAAGATTGCTAAGAAACCTTCAGATTGAACATTTAGAATATTACTGAGGTGTTTTAAAAGGGTTGCCACCTGTTTAAAAAATAAATTCAAACCTGTTTAAAAAAATCAAATGGTTTTTGAATTAAAGGGAATTTGGTAATTGGAATATGTATCACAATATGGATGTCAGACGAAAGGGATTTAATTGGGTTTTAGTTGGAAAATATTTCGAGGAGGGATGCCACCTCTTTTAAAAGTCCAGTTTAAATTAGAAATGTTCAGCTTGAATATGTAGAATTTTCTAGGTTATTTGAGGAGGATTGCCAACTGTTTTAAATCTAAATTCGAATACAATTACATATATTATAAGTTAAATGAGTTATTATAAACCGGTTTTAATCGAAAGAGTCTTACTCAGGCTTTATTTCTAAGCAACATGTGTATAGCTGGGTCTCCACATGTTTGAAAATTCAAATTCGACTTGAATTATAGGAATTAACTGTTTAAAAAGGAAAATTCAAACTTTTCAATAATTTCAATGAATTGTTACAATATGGGTATCAATCGAAATGGTTTTGAAAAGGCTTCATTTCTAAACTACATGCAAGTATGAAAAAGTAGCACAAGAGAGAGGCTTGAGAGGCTTAGTTTGAAAGGTCTGAGAGTAAAAAACGCAATTGCTTAGTTTTTATTCATGAGGCCCAGTGTGTTGCAGTTTGATGTCCATTCAACGGCTCCTTTCATCAGATAATCAACTACTGACTGTAGCGTAAATCACTCTTCAAGTGTTAATCTCTGGCGATTGAATTGAATGCACTCAAAAAGTACATGGTGAACGTCTTCTTCCACGCCACTTCCATTAAGCCAAAAATTTGAGAAAAGATGACAAGAAATTTGATTAGTAATTTCCAAAAACTATTTTGTACTCGACCAGCAAATTGCATAGATGAAATATACATCTGTATACATACATATGTA